ATATATATATATATATATGCACACATACACTATGTGCATGTTTTGTTTGCAGGAAAACTGATTTACTATCTTTCAGAGTCAGAGTGCACAGTTGCATATTCCAGTAATGTTGGCTATTGCCTAAACCCTCACAGAGTTTTCTTCTTCCTCTTCATTCTCCAGGATTTAAGTGTTACTTGTGTTTTGCTGTCGGTAGCAGAGATTTAGGAAGCACATGACGAGGAACAGAATAAACAAGTACACTTTGTACTTGCTGATCCCGGGCAGTTGCCTCTGTTAAAGCTTTAAGGAGTGACAGATAAAGACCTGCAGAAAGAGTGCTTTGATACCTGAAGCAGTACTGAAACCACATCCTCACCCCTGGGATAACAATACCTAAGGGTAAATACCTGTTGTGTATAATTTTTTGTCTGTCTTTATTCAGCCTGCCTCTTCTTTATGAATAATAGAACATAGTTGTAAGTTTAAAAATAACCACTAGAGTTTCTTGGAAGGAATATTTTTAACTCCTATCTATGCCCTAATGTAATACACAGAATTTCTTTAATAAAGTCTTGTGGGAGCATGGAGCAGGGGTGAAAATGAACAGATGGGGCAGGAGTTGCTTATGGCAAGATGGTCACCAAAAGAAATGCCCATATAATGAGACAGAAGGATTATAAAGGTATCAGGATGTCTAATGCTCGAAGTGACCTGAAGCCCAGTTTTTGCAGTCCTATCACTTAACAGAAGCACACATTTCTTTTAATTAATAATTTTTGCTCTCATTGGTCAATGAATGCCTGCTACTTTCAGACCTGATTCCTTAGGTGGTGTCAAGTCTGAGACATGGCACTAGGTTACCAACAGGATAAGTGTGCTGGAGGTGGCTAGGAACACCCATATAATGTGTATAAGAGACAGCCAGTAGTCAATGCGCAGGTGCAAAGAGAACATAAACTGCTGACATCAGCCTTTCGAACTAACCCAGCCTTACTCATGCATATGTATGTTTGTGTTAGGTAACGCAATGAATATGGATATTCACACTCTATAAGTTTTTGGTAAAATGTGCGGTGGGTGTGCAAGCTTTGTGGAGAGATTCCCCCTTGCACCGGTGCCAGAGTAAACATACCTGCTGTATAACTCTATTCGAGTTGTGGAGTCTGTTTCTGCAAATCACATTATACAGAGCAGACTGGAGTAAACATGTTGCATTCCAGCCAGCCTTGCAAACAGCAGCTTGCTCTTCAAGCTAGTTAAGCGGCAGGAGATTTTGATGCTTGACAAAAAAGTTAGTTTTACTTTGGAGTCTTGTTCCAGAAGAGATGTGTCTAGATAAGTATTTCCTACTAAGATCTGCATGACAATGGTAGGAGGCCTACAGGTGACCTGCAGAACAACAGCACTTTTCCAGTGCTTTTAATTCAGAATGTATGCCTTAGGTTAGTGGTGATCCACAAGAAACTTTGAGGGTCAACATGTCTTTGTAGTCCAAACTGTGCTCTAGGACACTGTTGTTAGTGAGGGAAAATGTCTTCTCATAAACAGTTGATTTGTAATGTTTGGTTGCCAGTGACAGTGATACAGAACACAACACACTTGTGGACAACATCGAACTTTTTTTGCCTGTTTTATTTTTAACATTTATGTTTTCTGTGGCAATGTTAGAGAGTCATCTGAACAGTATATTGACCAAGAACCAAGGCAGGATAAAAGGGAAAAAAGGTATAAGAAAGTGACAAGTAGCTGAAATTAATGCATACTCTCTTGGCTTCTAGTGGCCAGAAAGCCATAGGGTGAGAGTGGTCTGCCTGAGTAAGAAGGGGTCCCCCATGCCCCACATGTCAGTTCCTCCTCAAGTCAGAGGCAGGGGGTATCCAGCAGATAGCCCCCACTGCCATTCTGCATGCCGAAGAGAGGAAGACAAAGACCAAAGCTGTGCAATGCTCCAGCCAGGTGCTACAAGGAAGGTAGGAGCACCATCAATTTAGCTGTAGCTGGTAAGGTTTACAGATGGTGCCAGGAAGCAGGCTTTATGCTGTGGAAGAGTGACAAAACCTTCTTTCTCTTGTCCACCCACAATGCAAATACAATATCCTTTTTGAATCAAGGAACTGAGTTATGCTGTTTCCAAAATTAAGTTCATAACTAGCTCTCAGATGGGCATGGCACTTCCTTGCGCTTTGTGGCCATAACATTGGTGCCTTGGCTCTTCTCACACAGACAACGCTATGTCTCAGAGCAGCAAAGCAATGTGCTTGCTCAGCACCCTTGAAAAGGCTTCCCCTGCCCCAAATAACCCATGCACTACTGTGCTGCTTGTTTTAAAATAACAAAAACACTGTTCACCAACTTCTGTTGCATTAGAGGAGACACTTTCAACAGGTTTTTGTCAAATGAAGCACAGATTTGAGATAAAATAGTGTTTGCAAATGAGGTTTTTCCTGTATGTCCTAGCCTAAGGATTTAGTGAATCACATGATAGACCCATCCTCACTGAGCCTGTGGTGATACATCCCTGTCTGGTCTTTCCACTGAGTTTGAAATCTCTTCAGTCTTTTCATAGTTGCCTGTGGTTGACTATTTGTTTAAGAGTTTTTGTAAAGAACACTTCGGTGATTTGCAAAACCACAAATTAGTAAATCTAGTGTTAATGCATTATACTGAATACATAGCTCAGCATAACATGAGCAGAATGAGAAGCACAGAGCTCCTTCCCCTTCCCAGCTGGATTAGTTTCAGGAATTACAAAAGTTGTGCTGTAAGCTTCTGCTTCTGAAAGCAGATTTTGAAGTTTCAAAATAACCTCAAATATTCAAAATTAATGTGTTTAAAATGTTAGGATGTGATACCCTCTGTAACTACAATCTGGGTAATTTGAAAAAGGTTTTGATAAGAGGTCAGCATTGAAGCTGTATCCAGTGCAGTAAATTCAGATTTTCAGCTCAGAAGAAGCTTTTCACAGGACTATTGTTTAAACTCCTATTCAGTACATTTCCCTTGTGCAGCACCCTGAAGTTTTCTACTGGATACATTGATTTTTACATGAACCCTGTGTAAGTATTCTCAACAACTAATATTTTAAAAAATAATCCTATGGTTTGTTTGGGGGCTTTTTTGTTTGTTTGTTTTTAACAGCAAGAGCACCAGAACCAGTTACCAGGCCAAATTCAGTGTTCCACATCACAATATTATGTTATAATTTACTGATCACGTAGCCACACTTTCTAGAGAGCTTCCAGCTTTCCAAATTGAGAGCTTGTGTTTTGTCCTCCTAGCATGAATTAGAGGCCATATAGAGCTGTATAACCCCACGAGGAAGTTCATCAGACGTGGGGTGTTCTCAGCTTTATGTCTCTGAGGGGTAACATAATCCTCTTAACAACAGAATATAGTGAAATTGTGCCTCACACCATTGTTTTTTCAACCTATGGGGGTTTTTTGCTCCATATGATGAAAGTAGCCAGTGCAAGAGTGATACTGCATTTCTCAGATTCAAGTGGGTATGAGAAGGAGACAGTGGTGTTCACCCAGCTCCCTGCAAGCACCTTTTGGACAGTAGGTATTATCTGCCCAAATGCTCAGCTGCACATATGACTGAGCTGCATAATCAGATAACCTAGAAAACATAGGTACCCCCACATTTTGCTGGCACATTTTCAGAGCTGCATTGAAAAACCTGGTTCTTCATGTACAGCACATTTTGCTCCACACAGTGATGAACAAGCTATGAATTTACTTACTGAAGTCTAAGCTATAGAAAATCGCAGGGCACCAGAAAAAAAACACATGAGATACATACCCAAAATGGACCTGATGGCATGAAAGGGTTACATTGGACTGAACTCATGCAGGCCTTCAAATCCTTTCCCATCCACCAGGACTTCATGGAATGCAGTGCTTGCCAGTACACAGTACATTGGGTACAGTGCTAATATTTTCTTACCTCAGGGAATTTCTTCTTTTGTAAATATTCTGTCATTGCAGGATCAAAATACTTCGCGTACCCTTCATTGAGACTGTATATCTTTCCTTTCTTCTTGATTTTAACATCTCTGTCCACCAAAATAAATTCACCGAGACCCTACAGAAGAACAGGACAGACCAGCTATTAGCAAGCAGCAGAAAATTTTGTTGACTTTCTATAGCAGTTGTTGCACCAGAGACGGGAGAAACGCTAGAACAGCTTGGTCTTTTCAGCACCTGTCTTGTGTGTAACTTCATAGTATTACAAATAGAGCAGAAAGTACAGACTCTGCATTATGTTCATGAAAACTTGTCACATTGGTACTGTAAGCAAAAAGCAATTCTACTGTAATAGTTAACTTATCAGAAGACCAGTCAGCCCTGGAAGCAGATGGATTGTGAATCTGTGTCCACAAATAATAAGGTTACACATTAAGCAATTACACTGCTTTCTGATTTTTGAACTCTTCTTGCCTGTCTTGTCTAAATATCTTAAAGTGAATGTGGTCAGCTACCCCAGCTGTTGCTGTCTGCAGTTTGAGTACAACTTCCACCTTCTCTTCATCTAACCAGAGCAGTTCAGGTCCCAGTTCTTTCCACTTGGAATGAGCCTATTTATAAAACTTAAAGGAGTTTTGATAATAATGCATCCTTTTATTAAAAAACCCTCTTATGTTATTGCCCACATCTAATGCTGGTTTCTCAAATGACCAGTGTCCTTCCTCCAGGAACACTAGCTGGGCTCCTGGGCTGAACACTGAGGGGTAACACATGTCCAACTGTATGGGTATGGTTGTACTTTTGCAAATAATTGGGTCTGTAGCTTAGAGGACTTAGACATAAAACTAAATTGCACTCAAGGAATCAGATATCTCTGCATAAGCTGTATCAAAAAACATTTCTTGCCCCAGGCTAAACACTGAACATGCTGAGGTTCTACAGGCAGAAAAAAAAAGAACAAGAAAAAAGTAGGAGTCCTTTAAGTGGAGGCAAAGACCTCCTTTTTTCTTAAGTGTTTTTCTTAAGTGTATTTTCTTAAGTGTTTGTGCGAAGTAGCAGTCTGGTTTAAATGAACAGGGATTCAAACACTATTTAACTTAAACTCTGAGCAGAACAAACAGAGGTATTGGTACCAATATACTCATGTATTACTGAATATTTGTAAGGCAGAGGTGGGGTGCTCCAGGATGTGGGTGAAAAAAAAAAAGAATAGTGTAGATTGCCTAGATTACAGAGACAAGGAGTAGCAAAAATGAGTAAACCCAAGCATGGAAAGGTCTAAAAGATAGTGACAATGTGATTAACACAATGACTATACCGGATCGAGCATGAAGCAGTCCACTCCTTGCCCGGTGGAGAGAGCGACCAGTGTAGCACTGCCATACAAGGCATAGCCTGCAGCAACAATATTGCGTCCAGGCTGCAAAGCATCTTTTTCAGAAGGCTCATCATCTGTTTCCTGAGGAAAAATAACCATTGGACTGAAGGTTAAATTTTTATGTGAAACAATAAAAACAACACAAATAATAATATGAGGCAGATTTCCTTTTTGTGTCTACATAGGCCTTTGAAACAACCAAAATAGAGATTTCTCACCTGTTAAGGGCAAGTTTGGTACAAGTACATGTGCATGCTGGGACAGGATGTTGAGAGTTTGTTATTTTATACATGTCATGCAACCAATACAATACCTGCAACAAAGCTGATACCTCAGCATTACAGCCCAGCCTACTAACTCAAGATCATCAGAAATCTGAGAACAGAGGTACTAATTTTCTGTAAATGTAAACATAAGCTATCATACTGACAACCCTCAGGAGGGAGTAACTGTGAGGTGAATGCAGTAATTAACAGTACAGAAAAATTGCTTCCAGTAACGCAGAATAAAAGGGTAGATAGTGCAACATGATGGAACCGAGCTTATGCATTGGTCTCTGCTGGTGAAGAGATGGGTAACTGAAGTGATATAAATGTTCATATTATATATAAAATAACAAATGCATTTGCTTTGCACATGTAACATGTGCTTGTGCACAGGTATGCATCTATAACTCCACATAGAGCATTCACATGGCATTTTACTTCAGGCTTTTAATCAATTTCCAATACTTGTATTTTGATTTGGCTCTTTGGTTATCACTGAAAAACAATAGCCCAAGCAGACCTGGTGCAAATATTTCCAGCCAGCTCTGGGGGTGTGCCTCAGCCACAGCTTACAAAGGTTTGACTGGTGGAATAAGAAAGGAGAACAGCCAAGCATACTTGGGAAGGCTGACTCCAACCTTTACCTCCTGGGACTACAAAATGGGTAGGGAATGTTTGATACTAATGTTTCTTTAAAAGCTTGTCAGTTGTGGGTCTTCTGTGGATGTTTTGCTGGTGGTTCAGAAGGAATTGAAATGAGACCCCCCTCAGATCCTTTCTTCAGGCCCTGGTTTAGCATTTTATTTTTCCAAACTCAGACAATTTCTTAGTGATTGCATGGGCCTAATTAGATTTAGTAGCAGATAAATAAAAATAGCAGCTCTAGCCCAAAATATCTAGTTAAAAAATTAAAAATCAGTGGAGACTGTTTTGTGTAGAATAAAATATTTGATGAATACTGAGCAAATTCTTTTAAAAATTAAGAATGCCTTACACAAATATTTTCCAAAGGAAAACACCTCTCCTCCAACAGAGAAATCCTCTGCTGTGCCCCATGGCAAGGAGCTCTCAGGGTACCCATCAGGGTCCTAGTAAAGTGGCAATCTAAGGGTAATCTGGGGATCCAGTTCATCATTGTATGCCAATATCTAGAGGAAAACAGATGTGAGACACCAAAACTACATCTTTCTTGGCATATGAAGACAGTAATTCCACATCAAAATGTTTTCATGTTCAGATGAAAGATTCTGTTACTTTTATTACTTTCATTTACAATTTTTAGCTCTGTTTTGCTCAAAACTTTAAATTATTATTATTTTTCCAAGCTCTTCCATGGGAAAAAAAAAATCCAGTTGGCAACCAACTCTTTATGGGAGCTGAAATATAACATGTGCAAATATATCTGATACACAGTCCCTTGGAATACTCTATGTCAAGCTCCTTATTCAGAGAGGTTATAATGCACATAATGATGGAAGACTAGTTAAAACCCCTGTTTGTATATTCCAGAGCTTTGAATATTGACTATTGGTGGCTAATCCTTTGCTAAAACAATCTTTTACAGAACCAACTATTATACCCTACATAGCATCTTCTCTTTCAAAAATTAATCCCCATGGCACATACAACATCAAAAACAATGGTTGTCCATAGTAGACTAATTATTAGCAACATTAAATGCAGAATTAAACATACAATTACACAACTAGTTCCAAACATATTATGATTTTCCTAGCTCTTTATATGCTTTCCTCATTAAATAAAATGTAATTTAGTATAAATACAGTAAAGAGTTTTGTTTTGTAGGACATGGTGTATATACAGTATATGTAGCTGCTGGTTACGCATGTTATTGATTTAAAATACATTTTTCAGAGATGAGCTTTTCTGTCCTATCTCTTAAATGCATTTTCCATGTTTATATGGTTGAGAATCCACTTATTTGTTGACTATGCTGAAAAATCAGAGGAACACCTTCCTCAGGAGGTGGACAGTCGGGCAGAATTCACTTGTTTTTCCATCCTTATTCAGAACTGTGTTTCCGAGAGCCAGCTTCCAAAATGAAGTAAAAAAGGCCAGTCTCAAACAAACATTTTGCAGAGCTTGTCAGAATGTTAAAAAGCTAGAAATCAGCTGATATTTCATTGTTAGGACAGCAGGAGTTTCGTCCTGCCAAGTACCATGTACTGTGAAACAAACCAGGGAATTAACCTAGATGGTATGCTCTGATAACTGCTGAATATTTTCACTTCTTTCTGGTGCACAGATGGATTTCCTTTCTATTCTATTTTGACTATGAGATGGCGGTAGTGAAATCTCTTTAGAGGTCTTTATGCAAAGCACTGAAATAGGCAGAGGGACTGCAGAGAAGCTCTGACAAGTGTTCATTGACAGAGTCACTTTTGGTTGTTAATGATGTGAAGCAGATAAAACAAGGTCTACAGAGTCTGGCTACAGGGGTACCCTTGGGTGATACCCAGAGTTGAAAATTTTTGCATGTATGATTTGCCATATCGTATAAAGGATTTCTCATCAGCAGTGGGAGCAGCTCTGGAAGGACACAGTTTCCAGATCTTTGTTCATATTACATGTTTCATGAGTATCCTTTGTACTTGCCCTGAATTCTTACACCTTCTCTGTAAGGGACCACATGGAGAGAAGGAGATTGTCCTCATGACACTGAAGGGGAGGAAGTAAAATACATCTAAGGCTTTGGACAAAGTTACAAATTAAAACCAAAACAAAACAAAGCAGCAGAGTTTCATAGCATATATGTGCAGTATGAATTGAGGGTTGCAGATTCAGCTCACTGAAAAACTGGGAAGAATCCAAGTAAATAATACTGTCACCACATCCTGACACTCCAGCAGCTGAGAGGCCCTCAGCAGCAGTGACTGTCCTATCCCCTTCTCTGGCTTTTGCTGATTCAGCAAGGCTCCTCCCTCAGCCCCACTTTTCTGACATTTCTGGTCTTTTTAACAATGCTACCCATGCTTCAGAAAGTAGAAGCCAGGCGGCAAATTAAATAAACATATGATGGCATTTATTTCCCAGTGGTTTTCTCTAAGAAACTGATACTGTGTTTTTCTGGCAGGAGGCAATGGTACCTGCCACCACGGTGGTGGCTCTGGATTAGGAGCAGCCAGAGGAACCATTTTCAGGTTTGAATTGTATTGGCCAAGTGCGGCCTTTATAGAAAAGTGCTGATTATATATTTTTCCTAAAATAGGAAAATATTTCATTTCTGGAGGATATGGCTTTGGAAATGAAGTTAAGGTGCTGACATGTTGAGAAAATCAGTCACACAATCATTTGAGAATTGGAAGGTACCAAATATCAGACAAGTGTTAAGAATCATCCTTCAGAATTGCATTTGTTCTAGCTTTTCTAGAATGATGTTAATGAACCTTAAATGACTTGAAAATGTGTTTTGTTTCTTAAGTGATTCTCACCCACTGGGTAAACATATCACTTTTATTCCCCTTCATGATGCCCTTCAGTAACAATCAATAAAGCACTTACTATTATTTCATTATTTCAAGGGGTTTGAAGTTAATAGTGTTTAAAGTTAATAGTGTTGCTACGAAATTGTCTTGCCTGAGAGGAAAGTGCATTATTTAACATGTACTTTGGAATTAGCATTTTAATGGCAAGAATTATGCAAGCCAAAGTCTGTAAATGCAACATTTTTTCTAATTTTCTAGGGAAAAATGGTAAGTTGTTCTTGTAATTGACAAACTGTGCTTCATCCTAGCAGCAGGGTTTTCATTTGGATATCTGTACAAAAAAGCAATGTAATCTTTTTATGAAGCACTGGAGGTACTCACCCACATGAAAACCAGTAACACAGTATTTACAACAAAAAAGTTAATATATATTAGAACAACCACAACTGTGGGAGGATCATAAAATTAATTGAAAACTTGAGCATTTGGGAATGACATGAGTTCTTTGGGAAATGTTTCTATTCTGAGTAAGAATCCCAGGGAAGACTGAGAAGTCTGTAGTTTTTAACTCACACATTAGCTGATGAGTTAAATATTGTAGAGAAACATAGTCTCTATTTCAACCTGCTAAGCTATATGAGTCACACTGAGCACTTGCCTTTTTGCAGAGTAACTGAACACAGCATTCCTAAAAAGAAAGCTAACGTTTGATGTTGGCAAGATGTTGCTTACCACCTGTAAAGGTTGGGAGGTGCTGTATTGTTTTAGGCTACCTTTAGAGAGATAAACAGAAAGGGTGGGGCTCCCTTTGCATGCCATAGGGGCATGTGGCATAGATTGCATCCATACAGTTAAGCTCTCTTCCCGGCAAAAAGCAAGTTGGTAGATAGTACTGGAGATAGTCCCTGAGCTGCTCTTTCCACAAGCCATACCCAGGCATCATCTCTGTGTTGTTTGGTCTGGGCTGCATCTATGATGGGTGTTTGCACTAACCATTAACAGTGTGGACAGCCATGTGCTTGTGCCATGGTCCTGTTGAGACTGTGCCATAACTATTTGATTTACTAGCACATGTATATTCTCAACAGTGATTAGCATATTGCCTACCAGAAGTGTGAAAAATGAGGACTAACCGGTTGAAAATTATGAGTTAAAAGACAAGAGCAGACTTTAAAAATGTATGCTCATGTGAAGTGTAGCATCTCAGTCTGCAAAGACTTCTTTGCAGTCACAAGTACTGTAGATGTTACTTCACAATAGCAATGGCTGAAGGTTTCCCATAGTCATATGACTGTGAGTTCAGGCTTTAGGAAAAACACCAACTGCTGGGAGATTAGCAGACAAATCACAAGATTTGGCATGACTCTTAACTATAACTGTTTGTTAATTGGCTGCAGAGCTGTGCAGCCCCATGGCAGCAAACATGATGGCAGGGCCCCGGTGACTGCTTCCTTCAGGCTCAGGTGGTCTCCATCCTTAACGTGCTTATAAAGTCCCATCCATAACAGGCACAGCAACTCCCGCTGGGAGGCCACCACGCTGCTAACTGTGATCCAGGCAGTGACTGTCAGCCCTTCCCAGTCTGTATCCGGGAAGACAAATGCTGAGTTGTGAGCACCACCACACCCCTTAGCTTCCCTGCAGAAAGTAAAGCATCACTGAAGGAACTAACAAGCTGCCTGATGGTGAGAGCGTTTTAAGCTCCTTTGTGTCTGGAGAAGGGAAGTGCTGCCACCTAGCAATTTCATGGGGCTGATGTCCTCTTCCTGGGAATTGAGGCAGCATTTTAGCCCATGTGAATCTTAAGTGTTACTTCTTGTACTCTTTCTAAGGCTCTGTTGATCACAAAGACACCTAAAGGACCTAGGAAAGAATCTAAGCAAGTTGATATACCCATGACATTTTGCTTTTACCATGCCATGTGTTCTTCATTCATCCTCTTACCTTTTTGTAGATAGCAAATATTGTTCCTATTGGTGCCAAGCAGTCTATATTGGATGAGCCATCAAGAGGATCAAAGCACACCACGTATTTACCCTAAAATAGAAGTGGCAAGGGAAGCATTAAATGATATGTAGTCTTGCACTATTATTTCCTTTTACTTGACAAAACCCATGGTTTTTAGACTGCATTTAGCCCTCTAAGTATGCCTGACATGACTTGTCAGGAAAGCTGCACTGTTGACCTAGCTGGCCCTGCAGCACAACACCCACTGCCCGCAGGGCCTGCCAGAGAAATAGGAGAGGGCAGGTTTCTGCTCAGACAGCCCAAAAATCTCATGATAAAAACGAGCAGTCCTCTGCTGCCAAGCAATGCAAGAAATCACTTGAAAGCGAAAGGAGTGACTCATTCTGGGAGTGAGCATCTTCCTCAAGTAAACATGTTTTGTTTTGTTACGTTTTGTTCTGAACAAAAGAACTTGCCTGTGATGTGAGGTTTGAGAGTTAGAAGGCAGAAAGAAAACATCTTGGGGGAAGGATAGATTACATCAGCGTGAGCAGTATCTTGCTGCAATAGTATCCCCTCCTGGGGGAAGCCTGATGAACCAGTCAGGTGTTTCCTCTGGACACGTAACATAAAACCCAGTTCTGCCAGACTCTCATCTCATTTTATCTTGCCTAAATATTAATGTAGTCCAAAATGTTACACCGGCGGTCAGGGAATGTAATAATACACTTATACCTGGGATCTGGGGTGTGTTAACAAGCTCCAAAATAATTATTCTCCCCCCCTTCACAAAACTTTAATAATAATTTTACCCTCCACAGCTCCTTTAGTTGTTGAAACTATGCCGTACACCACAGTTATTAATCAAAACAATGCAGTAATGGTGCAAATTTTCTGAATTCCCGCGGGAAGGGGGGGTGGCGCGGGGCGTGTGTCAGGCCCAAGTTTCATGCTTGAAACAAGAGTGCCACCTGCTGCTTCCTGAGCCAATAAACCCCTGAAGGCAGGAGCTGCACAGACCCGCTTGTCTTTCGGAGTGAGGATGGCCTCCTTGTTCTCCTCGGTTACCAGGACGCAGGTGCTGTAGGAGGACTGGAGCATATTAATCACCAGAGAGTTGGATAATACATCCAGCTTCTTCACTTCATCACCAGTCACGTTCACGGTGCCGGCTATACCAAACCTACAGGAAAGTAAACCAGGAAATCTGAGGGAGGACAACGTTACAGGTTTTAAGAAAAAAAAAAAAGAAAAGAGAAAAAAGAAAGAAAGAAAAATAAAGTCAGGCTGACTCCTTCCTCTCATCTTCCCACACCTCTAACCTTTGGATTAAACTGATGAGGTGCATTAGGAGATGGTTGCTGCTGCTGGAAAATTAAAGTGTGCATGAGAAAGAGGAAGGGTCTTTTTGGTTCTGCTTGGATGTTCTCCAGGCCAGAGGCAGAGCCCACAGCTCAGCTAGTGCATGCCAGGCTTCCCTAAGAGCCTCATGAAGCAGCTATCAGCAGTTTTGTGGAAGGAGAGGGCAGTTAGCACCTGCATAATTTTCTTCTGCTGGTCTGTGAGGGTCACTTAACCCACATCCACTCATTTCCCAGCCATCACAAAATCAGAAGTTTTAAAGGCACCCCCAGATAATTCCCTCAGGATCAAGGTCAGTTTTATTCGGTGATCCTCAGCTGAGTTGGGAATGATGCTTCTGTTCCCTATCCTGATTTTAACAATATATTAATAATGTAGTATACATATTTATGAGATTACCAGTTGAGGAAGCACTGTTCAGACCTAATGTGCATAGTCTGGGTATCTTAGAAGTATAAGGACGCATATAGGGAATAGATATAGATATAGCATTTTTATTCATTATGGAAAGGAAAAAAAAAAAAAAAAGGAAGGGGAAAGGGAAAACTAATTAGTCCCTAGGATATTGATCAGCAGCAGACCTTAGTTGGGGGCAGGGTAGGTCTTTTGTCTTACTTAAAGTTCCCTGAGATTTTCAGAAGTATTAAGCATTTTGGGCACTCTGTTTTGGAGGGCCAAGTTTGAGATACTGTAAAGGACCATGATTTTTCAGGCAGTGCTGAGCACCCATTCTCCAGTTAGTGTTATTTCAGGCATATTCCCAGCACAAGTCTCCGGCTTGGAAAAAGTCCTCTTTTACTCTTGAATGGCAAATTTGTTAAAAATTCATGCTGAACTCTTTAACATTAAAGAAGTCACTTCACAGTCTCCTGTTTGGAGAGGGTAGAAAAATCAGACCTTTCTAACTTCACAAATGCAAATGGATGCAAGCCAGTCACTGTGGTTGAAAGTTTGCCATGGGAATTTCTGAAATGTTATCTTCAGTTGCAGTAATTTGAATGGTTACTCATTTGTGTGTTTGGATACTTTAGATATTTCTGGTACATCACCTGAATCTTTTGTTTAAAGAAAGAGATATTTGCTTCTTAACATAATGGCTGTTTTATTTCTGAAGGGAAGATTCATCTAGCACAGTAACTGTGTGTGCTGCAACACCTGTTCCACCTCTAATGGAGGTTCTCCCCACTTTTAAATACTTCAGAGGTTGCATATTGAAAGATAAAAATGAGACCAAGGCAACCATTCCTTTAAGTCAGGGAGGCAAAACAACTTAGCTTCACCTATTAAGTACAGAAACAAAGTATGGTTTAACAGTTAGGGCAGAGCAGCCTGACACTGCTGTTAACTTTGAGTATGTCTCATGCCCTCTCTACATATTATGGTCCATGCCTGTAAAGTGAGGGTGATAGTGCTGAGACCTTGAAGTCACGATTTGGAAAGATTATGAAGACTTTGACCAAATAGTCAGCAGAAGTACAAAAAAACCCATTGTCATACATTTTGGTGTCTCCACACAGGGGAAAAAAAAAAAAAAAAAAGAAAGAAAAAGTTACAAATGTTGTCTTTCTTACACAAATATATTCCCTGTCTTTTTTATGCATATAAACATATGTACATACACAGGCATGTACAGAAACATATCTTTCAATACAGAATAAAATCTGTATATTTTAAATGCACAGTTTTATTAGAACTTTGCAGCTCTCTGAACCACTGCTGATAGATCTCCATTAAAAGAATGACACTGATGTCTATTTCACCTCTGTGTGTGAGGAAGAATTTGGTTCATTCCAGGCTTTGCTGAAGCAGTTCTTTATTCCATTTGATAAACCAGTAGATGTCAAACTGTTATGTTTGATTTTTATATAGAGCCTTTTAAGACTCCTCACCTGTAACCCTGATACTACTTGAGGAAGGAAGGGGAAATTCAGTCATGCATGGCAGCTTATGGCATTTCTCAAAGGGCAGTTGCTTTAGACCATTACTTATACTGCAGTCAGGCAGAGCATCAGCTTCCCAAGATAAGCCAAGCCCTTATTTACACAGCTCAGCACCAGACTTGGATGTTAGCAGAAAAAATTACAGTGTGATATTCTACAAATTCACAGTAGTTTTAAAAACAGATCAGTATCAACATTTACAAGGGATATCAAGGTGAACAGTGCACTGAAGTTCTGAGGTACATTTTTAGAGTAAAATATTACAGAACAGCAGCTAGTTTAAATGTCTATCTTGTGACCAATATTCAAATGCTCCAGAAAGAGAGATCTCCCACTTCCCACTCTTGATAATCCAGGCTTAAAGTCACTCATCTTAAAAAAAGGCCCTTCTAATGTATTTATGAATCCCTGCCCATTCCCCAGCCTTGCTGTGCAAGCAGCTGTCTTTCTACCTCCTCTTCCTCCCCGTATCGCTAGGTAGGACTCACATGTGGGCAAGACCTGCCTTTCTGACTGCAGAGGAAATGGCCTTTATGGCAGTCAGCATGGAGTTGAGCAGCTGCGTCAGCTCCCCTGTTGCTCCTTTAACACGACGTCCCTTCTCCATAACGAATCGTGTGAGTGTCAGCATATCCGTTTCGAAGGGGGTTTTGTCGGACATTTTTGCTGGGTACCAGAGTTCTTATCTTCTCAGCTGGATGGGACGCTTTCTTGCCGTGTGGAGATCCTGGGTAGCTGTTTTATTCTGAGGCGAAGCTGTCAGCTGCGTTGCTGGTCAGAGTTTATTAAAATGTTTCTGAGACCATGTGATTAAGTGCTCAGAATAACTGCACCCCAGGCTGGCTCCGTGGCACCTCCAGGGCGCAGAAAAGAAGCCTAAGACAGGACTACAGCTGAGCAACCACTGTTACTGTTTGACTGCCCTCCCCATGCACTGAAATTAGCAATGTGCAGATCTAATAACATATTCCAATTGTGCGTTAGACTGCTTATAATGTAAAACTCTCACTGGTTGCTTAGCTGGAGACTGCTTGCTTGTAGCTTCTGCTCAGCAATGAGCTCAGCATAGCCAAGACAAAGCACACAATTTGCAAGGCACCAGAAATGAAGGCATAGGGCACCAGTGACCATGCGTGCCATAGTGCCCCACAGCAGAGCACCCACCACGCTATGACTCTGGACAGTGAAGTTCCCTTCCCATATCACCTTGATCCCTGCTTGTTCACCCTCTTTTGGTTTTCTCCATAGAGGAGGGTTTCAAAGGTGTATGGCACATCCCCTGGGAATCAACAGGAGATGCAGGGTGCATCTAGACATGCATTTACTAAAGATGTTTTCTGTTGCTTGTTGGTCTGCTGCAATCCCATTTTAACGACTTCATTCCTAGTCTGGGAAACCTGTAATATTGCAGGGCTTGCATGAATGATAAGTGCTGGTGAGCTGTAGCTTGATTTGTTACAGAATAGTTATGTGTTCAATAATTTACAAATGGATTTAAGCATGTCTGTCATAACTCACAAAATGAAATTTTATATCAGTTTTGATATTGTAGTGCACCATATAAATATAGGTATGTCCAAGTTTGCAATTATACAGCCGGTAACTCCTTACAAGCAGTAGACTTGGGTGACATGATGCTAATGTGAAGGTAAACAGGAATATCAGTGAGTGAGGTAGATGCTATCTGGAATATTGGAATTACGGATTTTAATTACAGCACTCTCTTCCTACTCAGATGAGGCAGTAAGAACAATTATATGTTGTAGCCTTCATTTTACTTATTAGCTGCACTCTCTTATTTTTAAGATCTGGAAAGCCTACAAGCAAACCAAGAAAATCTGGACTTAAAGATGTAAAGTTACACAGAGTTTCATTGTTATAATTCATTCAGACCAAATGACTGCACTAAAATCATGAGAGGAAGACAGAAACAAAATTCAATAACAAAGCATATACCTAGCTTTGTTTTTGTTAATAGGAACTGCAGCTGTAGGCAATGAGTTTTGATTTCTCTTTGCATTCCTTTATTAATCTTTAGCATTTCTTTGGATTTTCCTAAAAGCATCTCTTCGCCTATGAACAATACATTACTTGGAGAGTTGTAAAGGGATTTGAATGGTAAAGTTTTCTACTTTGAAACCTGCCTCAAGGAAAGGCCCTAGAGATTGACAGCACTGAATACTAGCTACAAGTAGAAAGACACGGTTCAGTGCTACTTGCATCCCCTTTAGGGATGTTCTTCAAGTTTCATTCTAAGGAGGAGGAAGGACTGGTGAGCAGAAATCCTCTGGTGGAGCAACAGGCAGATTTTCCACTATGTCCTCTAAGGTAATGATGGAAGAAGAAAGTGATCTTGAACATTTCTTTTACTCTTTTCTACCTCTGTGATCTAGTTAAAAGTATATGATGCCATTCACATCACAGGACAAATACTCCACAGCTCTTTTTTCCAGGCTACAAGACTTTCTTTCTTCAACCACACTTTGTACAAAACTGAAAAATGACATATTTAAAGAGCTCTGGGATAGCACATGGTGCTATTAATAAAAGAAGGGGACAGGTTTCACATTATACATGCAACATATCTGCTAGCTTCAAGTACAGTCATTACATTCTGCACATTATTTGGTCATCATGGTAGTTGACAGCCTGACCAATACTAAAATGCTTTTAAAGTCTCTCTGCTGTGTAGCTAGAGTACCATCAGGATACCAAATCAATTTAGCAAATAAGAAATAGGGTGGGAGTTTGCCTATGGCTTCTAACATTTATCAAAACATCACATGCAGATGTGATTCTTTACTTTTGACTCCAAGTGATCTTTTACACTGATCAAAAAGACAAAGTTCAGATCATCTTCTAACAGAAAGTTTGTTTTGGATTTAGTGGTTCAAAGGGTGTTCCCAGAGCTAATAAGCCCATTATTTACCCCTGTCTTTTTTTTTTTTTTTTTTTTTTGCTTTTTACAGGTACTGGATACTTTTTATTATGTATAAAGCATAATGCTTTGACCTACTGCTCAATTAACACTCCATCAATGAGAACTTAACTTATGCTAATATGTAAAGAACACAGACTCTACACTCAAGCTTTCCAGAAGTATTGCAGCCAACAGTGGAGCAAGAAGAGAAATAAAATAATAAAACTTGGATAAAGTCACAAGTCTGGGTCGCATAAAAACTTTACCCTATTTTGGTAAATACTCTCATCCCACTGAAAAATAAAAACCTGAATGATTAAACTGATTGATTAATTATCATTTGGGGGGGGGAGAGAAATTGTTTTAAAATTGTTTTAAAAGTGTGTGATGATTCTTTATAAGCCTGAGAACTGATCAGTAAGATGGGTTTGAAAAGCATAGAAAAAAAAACAAACAACAATTTAACAGATCCATGTGAGGTTTGCCCTCTAATATAAAGATTACACAAGAGCTCTCAGGGATGATTCACAATTCCACTGGCATATAGTCTAGCCCTGTGCCTTAAAGGTGACACCTTTTCTAACTAATTTGAAATGTTAGCCACTTGGATGGTGCCGGCTAAAATTGGAGCCAGCGACCTTTCACCAAATGCCACAGTTCAGCCTCTGAGTAGGGCAGTGGGTAGTGCTGCAGTGGAGCTGAAGGCAGACATTGTGACATACCGACCCTCCTGCTCCACATTGATGTGCAGGGTGAGTACTGGAAAGGGGGCTGTGGAAAGAGATTACTAAATAGTTCTCCCCACTGGTGGCTACATGGAAGTACTGTTTAAATATCCTACAGACTTTTTTAATACAGATAGAAAAAAACCCACCTATCTCACAATATGAAAATGATAACTATAAAAACCAGGCAAAACCAGAACACTGGAAACTGACCTAGTAAACAAGGGCAGTATTGCCTTTCCTTCTATAACATTTACCTACTGCCAGTATGATGTCTTAAGAATAGATATATGCAACCCATGGATTCCTGAAGAGGTTGAAGGCAGAATGCAGCTGAGAAATTATTATAACTAGATGGCTGCTGTGGATGCTGTCTGTTAAGTTGTGTCAACAGACTAGTGAGGCACTGTAGTCCAAACTCATATAGAAAAAGCCAGAAAAAAAGCAGTAAGGACTTCCAACTATCCTCTGTTTAGCGTATTTAAATGAAAAATTGCAACCAACTATGGCTCTAGGGATAGGTTGAATTGAAAACTTAAGGATCTAAAAGAGTTGTGCATGACAACAGCCAGGCACTTTCATCCAGGAGCAGCATCCAGAACCTCAGAGAGGCTTAGAGTCCATCTCAGCATGCTGCCTGCTGTAGCTGATTTAGTGAGCTTGGAGTCTTTTAAAGTGCTATGGGGCATGCTATGGGGCATGTGCCAGAGCCAGCAAGTAAGGAAATGCTCGAGATGACAGGATCATGCAATTCCTGTGGGAAGTGTTTCAGCATGCAAGATAGGAATCTCTGGTCACTCCTAACACCTTCACTCCTCATCAAAACTGAGACTTGCTGTTTCTTTTGAAATCACAATGAAAAGACAAAACAGCTGCAAGAATTGCTCTTTTTTTTTTTTTTCTCTTTTACAAAAGCAAGAGCACATGCATATCTCAGCTGTAGGCTGCTCACACGAACAGGCAGAGGAAGCAGCGTCGGTCCTAGCACAAGAAAGAGTAGCCTGTGAAGACAAACCCGGGCCACAGGAGGTCCCCAGCCCACGGCTCTCCTTCTCGCTGCCTGGTCGCACCGAAGTCCTCTCCCACATCATGGTACAGGGCTCATAGGTCGGGGTAGTAAACTTCCTCCTTCCAGGCTGGCCCCCTGACTGGCAACAAGGGCACCTTGCTGGGAGATGTGTGTTTGAGCCTTGTCCCAGAAGAGAAATAATCAGAAATTAGACAACATAACGCATGGTCGTTGCTTGTGGGGTGCCTGATTTTGCAGGTGCTTATCAGGCTAAGTATGTAAGCCATGATCTGCTCATTCTCCAGAGCAGAGTTTGTCCTGCAGAGGAGCCAGATCCTCTGCAGGGCCAGACTGGGGCCCTGAAGGTATAAAAAGCAAGAGCACAGACAACAAAAGCTCAGTGGAGATTTCCAGCACTGTTCCAGTCCTTTAAGGGCTCAGGTACCTGAAAGCCCTGTCTTCACTAACAACAAAGCCTTATCAGAAACGGCATTTTCAGCAGAAACTAGGCGATTCAGTCCCTGACAGAAATGTCATGTCTTCTATCACTTTGGAGAAGAGATTCATGTTTGCACCCATCCAAGGTTTACCAATATGTCTCCAAATGCCCCAAATGCAACCTGCATCAGAACACGGGCCCCCAGATTTTTTTGTGTGAGCCCTCATAGAGCATGCCTTTGCACCATGGCCTTAGGTGTCCGTCTCTCCCTCCCCGCCCCCCCTTGTCTTCTTGTTTTACCAGAAGAACTCAGCTCATACAGGCTATCTGCACTGATGTATGGAAAATCCTTAGACAGGCAGGTTTATAGCTCATGGGCTCCTAGGCTGTGGCTTGAGTGAATGTTCAGTGGCAGTCTACCCAACAGCAACATCCACATGTTCCTTAGTTTGAGTTTGGCAGTGAGAAATGTCAAAGATTTTAAGATTCGGACAGATCAAAAAAACTTGTGGGTCTTAAACTGTGCCCAGACAGGCGGACAGCCCATCTAACCCCCAAGCACTAATATCGTGTTCCCAGCAGCATGCTCTGAATCAGCATATTAAATGTCAGTATACTTTGTGGGGATCTTCACAACTTACTTTTGCTTGCGCAGCAGAAGCCTTTTTCATAGTAATGCACACTCCCAAAATAACACAAAGAACACCTGGTGGGGGTTGCTAGCAACACACAGGTTCATTTTTTTATCAGGCAAACAGGTTAATTTCTGGCGTATCTTTGCCAAAATTAATTATAATAGTAATAATCTTAGCCATCTTATCACAACAGAATGGTACCAAGCTGTCTATACATGCTCCTTATCCAATTCAAAATCCACCTCCAAAATAGAATTTTCTTTCCTTGTGTAACTGGATCTGACAGAGTGCCAACTGGCAATATTAACAGAATGTGTCAGAATTAACATACACTAATGTATGTGTTTCACAAATGTTAATTTTTGGTCAGAATAAGCCCAGACTGAAGTACAGTGAATAACTTCTGGGGCCCAGAAACAACGTGTGAAGGCATACACATTAGCATTTGTATTTATTGCCAAAGAACTAAAGACTGGTCTAGGAAAGTTCACTCACTGTAAGAGGCTGTGGAGTCTTCCCCCCAAGATTTTTAGAAGAGGACAGAGTCAGGTATTCTGGTGCTAGTCTGTAGCTTGTCTGAGAAAGCTGAACCTTGCCCTAGTTATTTAACACAGTATGTCCTGGTAGAACAGTGGCTTTTGTGTAATCACAAATGATAAATGAAAAAGCAAATGTATTTTTCCCTTGCTTTTATTTTTAATACAATCTTTTAATGCTTCTCATTGTACAATTCAATTGCACAAGATTTCACTTAAAAAAAAAAATCTTTTGAAAATATGGCTATGTTGCTACAGAGGTCAGACCATTCAGTCTTGCAGTACTGCAGTGTGTTCTTTGGTTCAGCTGTAAGGCATATCTTCCCCTCGGCACAGTGACACCAGCAAATTTTCTTTACTTAGCTGAATGCTTCTTGACTATTTCAAGGTACTCCTTCACATCATCAGGAGATCCCAAGACAATAGGCACTCTTTGGTGGATATCCTCAGGCACTATATCTAGTATTGCTTGTTGCCCAGTTGTTGCTATTCCCCCAGCCTTCTCAATAACAAAAGCCATAGGATTGCATTCATAGAGCAGTCTCAGCTAGAAAACAAAAATCAAAATGGCAAAGGTCAACCCAGCAATGCTGAGAATCATGAAATGTAAATGTGTTTAGTGTTTGATTTAAAACCGATCAACACTGAAAGTACTCCATATTTTATATAAACTTTGACTCAAGAATGAAATTTGGTGGACTTTTCTTTCAAACAAAACACAGTAACTGCTGGATTTGCCCAAACTGAGTGCTTTCTCCATAGCTCATGTTTGCGTTGTGCTCTTTACACATAGATAAAGCTTGTATGTAAGACACAACCCTTAACAAGGCAGCAGACCACATAGGCCTGTGTGAAAGAAAGAAAAACACTGGTTCTGAGTGTGTCATTAGGTCTCTCTAATGAATAACTGCATCTTATCTGCAACCTGAAGCAATAATTTACAGACAATTACAAAACAGATGAAAGGTCTTTGCTGAATAAACAGTCCCCTTGTCAGCCTGTAACTGTGTTTATCTTCCCTGACTGACTGTCATCCTGGCAGAGGCAGCCAGGCATCGTTCCTCCAGATGAGGCAGTGTTACTAAGTACAAGATGCAGATGGTTTTCTCTTTGACACAGCTTCTTGTAACGGACTCACTAAATTTAGGCTTCTTACATACTAGCTTGTAATAGGAGTCTCAGGGTAATGTGGGTGGTTTACTTTGCTTTGTAATGTTTTGCTTGGTTGGGACCAGCATGGTTTGGGCTAAGATGGTACAGAGAAGCCTGTCTGAGCAGCATACCTCTTGGTATGCTCCATAATCTGAATGGATTTGGGGTTAAAGAGAAGTCAGCTGAAACAGGTTAGTTAGCCGAAACAGGTTAATAGCAACCCTAAAACTGACGTCTGACAATAGGTCGCTGTCACTCATGACAGCGTACAAGGAGTGGCCATACCCACACACCAGAGGTGCAAGGTACCAAGTTATAAAGCTCATGTTCTGCAGTCAAAATACTGATCTATGGTAGTGAAATATCTAGACAATGTAACATTTTCTGTAATTGGGCTTATTCAGATTTACCTTTCCTTTGGGACTTTTGGAGTTTGCAGGATACAGAAAGATTCCTCCATACACCAGTGTGCGATGTACATCAGCCACCATAGATCCTATGTACCTCCCACCATATGGTGAACTGCCATCCTACAGAAAGATATTTAAATAAATGTAACTTTCAAGTACATCAGGTTAATATTTTTTTTTTCTTCATCCCTTTCTTAGTGGTCCTAACACTTAAGTTCTCCATATTGTGATTCATTGATAATATTCCGAGCAGTTTTGAAGAAAATTTCAATTTTCTCCTCATTTTCTAATTTGGAAAACACAAGAAAAAGGACTGACAGAAGATTTCAGGATAGATGAATAGTGGTGCCAACAACAGAAAATGCACACATGCTCTCCATCAGTGCTCTAACCCTTTGGAATATACTGCATTTCTAGTAGCAAAAAGATCCAGTGCTAGGAATTAATGGCTTTAAACTGCAACAGGGGAGGTTTAGACTGAACATGAGGAAAAAAATTTTCACAGGAAGAGTGGTCAGACAGTGGAATAGGCTGCCCAGGGATGTGGTGGAGTCACCATCCCTGGATGTGTTTAAGGGTCATTTAGATGAGATGCTGGGGGATATGGTGTAAGGGAGAACTCTCTAGAGTAGGGCTGATGGTTGGACTCGATGATCCCAAGGGTCTTTTCCAACCTGAATGATTCTGTGATTCTGTGAATTGATGTTGGGTTTTTTTGTTTTGTAGCAGTAAAAAAGATCAAGGACTAAAAGTAGTGATCTTTCCTACTTCTTCTACCCATTTTTGCCAGCATTTTTGGTAAGAAAAAGTTAATAGTTGACTACTGATATTATTTCTTTATTATACTGCAGAGAGTATGTTTTAATATCTAAATAAACAATACCTTAAAGCTGGCAAGATGCCAGATGAAAACACCAGTCTTTGTTCAAAGCAAGATCAGGAAGTCAAGAAGGGAACCAAAAACTTAAAAATAGCAAATGCTTACACTTCACTGTGAATGAATTAACTCCAGTGATGGCAGACGTAAGGCATGAGAACAGACGTGACTTTTATGGGCACTGCTTAGAGCTTCAGGCCTCCTGACACCAGCACCATGAAGCGAAACCTGAAACTACACTAGCTTTTCAAGTGAGAGGCCCCTTCAGGATCCAGCTTGTGTTAGCACAGAGCAATGACCCACTGCCATGTCCACTTGGGTCTCCAAATACTCAAATTCTACAGTGAGGAAGCAGCAATCTAAGACACATGCCAATCAAATTTCTTCATCACCAGATGAGACTTCCTCTCTAGCTGACTACCAAATGCCCAGTTTTGCCTCCAGCACCATTACTGAGGCCCCCAGACAGGAGGGAAGATTAAAGGGGGAAAAAAAAAAAAAAAAAAAAAAAAAAAAAAAAAAAAGAGGTGCAATGCCTTACTGAAGGATGGTGAAATATCTGGTCACATGAACTGTTGCTCTATCAGTCCTACACGAAGATACATTTTAAATACACAAGAAAGGAAAACAAGCTCTGAACAGTGCATGAGACAGTGATTGATCATAAAGTTGGAAATGATGAGTGTTTCTTGTCATCTGAAAGTTTGTCTGAAACAGGTTCTTTTACCTCAGGGAATTTCTTCTTTTTGAGATACTCTGTGACTGCAGAATCGAAGTATTTAGCATAGCCTTCATTAAGACTGTAGATATTTCCCTTCTTTTTGATTTTCACATCCCTATCCACCAAAATGAATTCTCCAATTGCCTAACAGTAAGAAAGAAAAACAATATGTGAATGTTAATTGCTCATTTATTTACAAACCAGGGCAAAACCCAATCATACACAAAATTTAGGAGAAATTTACTATTTCTGCCACTTTCTTTAACAACTCAGTAGCAAAAAAAAAAAAAAAAAAAAAAAAGTGGAATTTGCAGTTTAGATACAAAGCATTTTGTTTATCCATAAAACACAGACAGAGCATGCATCCCGGGGTCATGCAAGCTTCTTCATACTACCATTGCCAGCGCTCTATCACTTTTTCATGCCAAAAAATGCTGTTTCCTGTAGATTTATTTAGCTCTCCACTCTTTTGCTAGACTTACAATGAAAGTACAGCTCTGACGAGTTTGGAACTGAGAGTGCTGGTTGAAGCAATGCATAAACATGTTCAAATACTGTTGATACTCCAGTTCATCTTAGCTTGGGCTAACTGGATGCCTGGAATCAAGAGAGCCAATCTCTGTAAGGAGGGGCTGGTCTGTTTAGTTTTCACTAAATTAAATTTCCAAGTTAGTGCTAAAAATAAACAAAATAACATGTGTGCTCAAAGTTAAATCTGCTATCTAAATATAGACAAAAATGCATGCAGCTATTTAAGATGTTACTTATAGGGAGCACACATATTTCCTGCTGCTTGATGACTACAACTTCTAAAAATTTAACACTGGCAAGTGGCACAGCCTGACTAACTGATAACAAAAAAAGGGTCACTAAAAGAAAACTACTTTCTGCTATGATCAATACGAGTTTTATTTTAAAACTCATATGGCCAACGCATGCTAGAACGTCAAACGCACCCACACACATCACTTACTCTTTTACACATCATGGTGGGATCTGAAAACACAGAATAAGGTTAAATATTTCTGCTTCTCTGGTTTACTAAGGTCCTATCATTAAGGAAAAGAAAAGTCTTAAAGGGCATTCTGCATTGCAGAAAACAGCTCATTTTAACTATCACATGATTTGGCAATTTGGCACATGCTGTGTATTTTTTTCACTGACTCGGCTGTCTACACATTGTGAAATCACACAGCACTGCTGCAGTGGGCAGACAGAATGTAAAAATCTCTTGACCTTATTGCCAATCAGTTATATAGTGTATTTCATTTATCCACGTTAGCTTGAAAATCACTCCTTTGTTTGATTTTTCTGGGTACAAACAGTGCTTTGGGACAGTGTCTTGTTATCCCTAACAAAGAAACAAAAGACATTCTCACCGGATCCAGCATGAAACAGTTGACACCTCCAGCAGAAGTGGCCAGTACCAACATTGTGGCACTCCCATAGAGAGCATAACCTGCTGCCACAAGATTACGTCCAGGTTGTAAAGCATCTTTACCAGAAGGTTCATCAGGGGACATCTAGAATAAGAAGGAACATAGTCAAATTTGTTTTGTTTCTGTAGCTGGTACATAACTGGACTCCCTGTGAAAGCAACAGTCTTCTACTCCATATCCATGCATGAGGTGGCATAGATGCTTCCATGATCCACAACTGAGATTCTTACTGGATGCACTAATACAAATTATATGGAGGAGACAAACACACTGATCTAGAAATGCTCTTGTATAAGCCTAGTTGGAATGCAGGAAACAGGAAAGGATTAAGGAGATAATAGAGAGCTGTGTACCTCCTTGTAGGTGATGATGAACACAGCCCAGAGGAAAACTCCAGGGCACAGTTGAAAAGCAAACTATGAAACATGACTCATGGCATTCACAGCTGATCAAAAGTACTTCGGATTATTTTGTTTTCTTTTGCTTCATACAAAAATGAAGTTGAAAATAGTTCTTTTGGCATGTATGACAACATACAAACGATTATTAAAATGGACAGCCAGGTGTGTTTTATCTGACACTTTTTTCCCCCATCTTGTGACATGTAAGTCTGGTATTTCAAGCTCCTTCAGACAAGGTTTTTGCCTTTCAGAGTGAATTAGACACTTCAAATGCACATGCCATGTTTCAGCTCAGGTTTGTGTTTGAAGCCTGTCCTCAGGCTAACAGGACTATTAGTACAGAGAACAACACAACTGAAAAGCACATTCCCCAGGTAGATGACAACCACGTGGTATTTGACTCAACACAAATATTAATGAAATCTAAGACATGATTTGTTTATAAAGGGTAGTTCCTTTAGCTGGCTAAATATCAGTCAGGGATAGACATACAGGTATCTAATTTTCTATGAGACTAATGCAAATCCCTCACAAATGTTTTATACAAGTGTCTGTAAAATAGTAGATTTAACTTAAAGCTGGTTCTGAAAGTCTCTTTCACAAATAAGTTTAGTTACATTTTATTAAGTCTTCACATGCAATTATAATTCCTCAAAAGGTGCACAACGATAGCTTTTCCTGTCCTACATGAAAGCATTTTACCTTTCTATAGATGGCAAAGATGGTCCCAATGGAAACAAGACAGTCAATGTTTGATGAGCCATCTAGAGGGTCTATGCAGACTATGTATTTGCCCTAGAAAGTATAAAAGAGGGAACAAATAGTTTAGTGACATTATTTACCCACTTCCCCCAAATAAAAGTACCTCAGTAGGTAAATTTTCTTACAGACTTTCAAAGCATTATAAACTTTTATATATTATGTAGGAAGTGAATTCAAATGTTAGAAATGCTTTGGCCCAGATTTCATTCTTGATTACAACTGTGTGATCTGTGCCACAGCAGAAGTTGGGGAATCTTTAAATTAAGTAACAGATGATGACATGGGAAAGGTGAAGTTTTCCTACACAATTTTAAATTAAAAAATACATATATATATATATATATATATATATATATAATTATTAGTTTAGCTTCATCTACTTAATTAAGGCTGAACATGTAATATCTATCATTTAGGTTACACTTTCTTGTCTCTAACAAAATGGCTTTCTGAATTATAAGGAAAAAAACAAATTTAAAAGATCAACACTTTTCATGCAGAGGTAAAATTAGAGACACTAATAAGGCCTTTAACACCTGACATTCATAAACTATACATTTCACTTTATCTGTGCTCTGAATGGACAGATGGTCAGAAATTACCTTATCCAGTCTGTGGTCTTATCCTGGTTTTTGGGTTTTTCCCCACCCAGAAAAAGAATGGTTCCTGCCTATTGTTGTATTGAGGATTCCTGTAGGTACAGGAAATTGACAGTACTGGGAAAACAGCTGAATCAACTGTACCTTTTAAATAGCTTGGTTTCCCCTTATGTTATCTAGAGTCATTTTAACTTTTAATGACAGTGTTTATTCACTTTTTGTTTGATTTCACCCTACATGCCAGAAACTTATTTAAGTCAAGCAGTACTCTACTCTGCAGGTAGGAATTATGGGTAGGAATTCTGATAAAAACACTATATTAGCTCACATTTACTTTAGAAAAGTATCCCATCCATGAGCCTCCCCCGGTGATCTTTGATGACCTAAAACTATAACTGCTTTGACAAAGCAAACATTATTATATTTTCTGAATTATGTTTTATTTGTTTGGTTTTGCTAAATTTTTATACAGATTTTTATATGATCGCACCAATATATTAACTAGGAAAAAGGAACAATCACTCAAAAAGTGCATGCAGACTTGTGAATATAAATAATAATAAGTAATAAATAGTAAAAATTATTTTCATTTCATTGTTGCTAAACCTTTCATGGGCTTCAAGGACAATTTACATGAACTCAAAAATTTGAGATTTGGTCTGCACAGAACAGGTCTTCAGTGTCCTCCTGAGAAAGCTACTTTACAAAAGGGCTTGACTGACTCAGAGCATAGTTCCAGAGATCAGATGGGATAAACAAGAAATTAGTTTCCTTCACAATTAGGAGAAGATGGGAAAGACAGAAGGTGGGGAGGAACAATAGAGGAAAAAACCAGCAAAAACCAAGCATCAGTCTCAAGAGCAGAAATAACACAAAGGACAAATGTTGACTGACACTCGACCCTTCACCCGACCCTTACCCCTTCATTTACCAGTATAGAAAAGTGTATGTTTTCTGAAATTTTTCACTCAGTTTCAGTTTCTCAGATCTGAGGCAATACACCTGTAAAGGCTGGTCTGAAATCAAGCAGGGAGAACTTTTGAAGCTACTAACCTGTTTTTCAGCTTCCACTATCACAGCATCTTTATTTTCTTCTGACACGATAACACATGTGCTGAAGGATGACTTGAGCATGTTAATCACCAGGTCATTGGACAGGATGTCCAACTTCTTTACTTGATCTCCTGTCACATTGGTAGACCCAGCAATTCCATAGCTAGAGCAATGTCAGGAGAGAGCAGTTCATGAGAACAGGGCATATATCTTCCGAAGTGCCCTGTTTCTGGCCACCTTGTGCTTGTAAAGCATCTTGTAAGACAAACAGCACTTTTGGATGATATCTCAGCTCTCTTAAACCTGTTTTTTATTTACTGTCCAGTGGATTCTTGGTGAGACCTGCTAATATTAGATGTGGTGGCAAATCTAGAAGACACTGAATGTGAGGAACACAAAACGGAATCACTTTTCAGTGGTCCTTAAACTATAGGCAAATATAGCCAGAGCAGACTGTGAAGGCTGAATTACAATAATTTTGTTATTTAATCAGCTCTTAACTTTAAGACCTGAATACTGACCTGAATCCTAGGTTCTAGTATTACAGCTGCATACCATAAAAGCTGAGACTTCATTAGAAACTCATACCTAAAAAGTAACAATGACTCTAAGAACACTAGTTACACTATAACTTCTGTATGTAATTTGCTACTGGTTAGCAACGCGATATACAAATTGCAGTAAAAACACTTTGCTCACAGGTAAATCAACATTTTTATGGTTCAGTGTTTTAAGTTTTGGCTTTAGGCAGTAAACATCTTGGGAATAAAAGAAATATAAATACAAAACAGGAATAAAACCCTGTGAGCTAATCAGAATCAAACCACTGCCATCAGGAAGTACCAGGAGACTTTGCGATAGGTGATTTCGAAAACATGCAAAACAGAGAGGGGAAGTTTAGCTCTTAGAAGAAGTCAAACAATAGCCAGCTCTGCACATATTCAGATGCCTCTTGCATGCTTCAACTACGATTCATTGATTAGGCTGAATACTGGTGTTTCAGGTTTTTTGCAACAATGCTGAACACACTACTTTAGGAACGTACTGCATTTCTTCAGTTTAATGCAGGAGACAAAGAAAAAGACTTGGCATAATTCTGTTTTTTTCTTTCTCCATGTTACAGTGGCCTGAACATTTTTCTGGAAGTGTGGAAGTGCTTTTAGAAAACAATGTACTTTGAACACTGCACTTGCAAACAGAGGCACAAGTCCTCGTCCTCAGAGCAATAACTCCATATGGCCAGCAGCTACAGCTCTCACACCTGTCTGTTGGGGACTTCTCAGGGGGGATGGCAGAGTGCCCTGAGCAGAGCCCGCAGCTGGGAAGGGAGTCGCCTCCCCAACTGTTCTGCACGTCCGCTGCTGGGAAGCACTGAGCATACAGCTGAGCCTGAGGATGACCCTCAGAAATGGGCCCCAGCAATCCCTACTTGTTCACATTCCCTGATAGCCAGGAAAATCCCACCACTGGTTATGAAATGCAGTCCCACAATGGAAGATGCACTGCTCAAGGAGGCTCACAAGTCTGATGCTGGCTACCCCCATCACTGGTGGAGAGTCAAATCCAATGTAGGGGACCATAAGGTAAAGGCTATCAGCACAGGTATGCAGCCTGTGGGCAGCTGTCCATGGATGTACATGCTTACATAAGGAATGGGATCTCAGGCTGTTGCAAATCACGTCACTGATGGAAATCCCTGATTTTTACTGATAGACACAGGAGGCACATGAAAGGCCTAGCACACAGTGATTAAAAAAGTACCACAGTTATATAAAGTCTGAAGTCAAAACAGAGAAAAATTGTTCAAGCATACAGGAAATGCTGGACTTTTTTTCTCTGTTGCAGTTTCTTCTATTTTATTAACTACAGTCACCACATTACACTTTGTAATAAATGTTACTCTGCATTGCCAAAGGTCTTTTGCTTTTTCTGTTTTCCACTACGTACATGGTTTGTAGAGGCATATTCATTTTCTGTTACATTTTTCATTAATGGAGCAGGCCGTGTCTAAAGCCCAGATCAGCACACAATTTGGCTTATCCACAATACATAAAACACTTCAGGGGATTAGTTACCTACAACCGGTTTCAGTTATTTAACATTTCAAGAGATCTAATTTCCTTCTGGTGCATCTCCAGAGCAACTCCCTGCTCACTATACCGCCGTTCCTAACCGGTGCCCTGTCTAAAAGTCTTAACCATCCAATACTTCACATAGAAACTCAAGTCGCCATCATGTGATATGAAGAAACCCCCACTGAATTTGGTTAAAAGCCTCATAACATAAAATGTTGCTTTGATCCTAATATACTGACTACAATGAGCAATAATTCAGCCATCGTTTGACAGGCTTTGTCTTTCAGTCTGTTTGTTTGGACTTCTGGTCCATGGCACACAAACCTGCTGAAGCTTTGCATGAAGGTCTACCAGCAGCAGACATCTGTCAAAGACTGCATGCCTTATATTATTAAAAAGTCAGAGGACCCATTTCACCTGAGAAAAGCAGGAGTCCAAGGTGCTAAAGGAGTGAGTTACAGCTCAGTGCTAGGGGAGGGGGTGTGGATGCAACCCCACTCACAGGCCTTTCGGGTGACACCCCCCACCCCCGCGGAGGCGGCAGGTGCCCTGGGCGCGCAGGGATGCATGGAGGCGCGGATGGTACCGGCGCTCCACCGCCCGCCACCCGGGACTCACAGGTTGGCGATGCCCGCCTTCCGGACGGCGGTGGAGATAGCTTTGATGGCCGTGCAGAGGGAGTTGAGGAGCTGCGTAAACTCCCCGGTGCCTTTCGCCCGCCTGCCTTCCTCCATCACGAAGCGGGTCATGGTGATGACATTGGTGTCGAAGGCGGAGCGGTCCGTCATGTTGGCGGCGACGAGAGAGTGGAGCCGCCGCCACCGCCGCCGCCGCCACTAGCCCGGACGGGGACGGGGAGTGGCC